CGGCGGGGGAGCCGAGAGGCTGCTCAGGTCCGACAGGAGCTCGGGGATGCTGTCAGCCACCGCCACCGTGACAGTGACGGTGGCCGAGAGAGGGGGCTGCCCGTTGTCCTTCACCAGCACCACCAGGCTCTGCTTCAGGCCGTCCCTGTCCACAAAGTAGCGCGCTGTCCGCACCTCGCCGCTGTGGACTCCGACCGAGAAGAGCCCCGGCTCCGTGGCCTTCAGCAGCTGGTAGGAGAGCCAGGCGTTCTGCCCGGAGTCCGCATCCACCGCCACCACCTTGGTGACCAGGTAGCCCGGCTCGGAGGAGCGAGGGGCCAGCTCCACTCCCGTGGAGCCATCGCTGGGGGAGGCGGGGTGCAGGATGTGCGGGCTGTTGTCATTCTGGTCCAGCACCAGGAGCCTGACGGAGACATGCCGGCGGGGCGGCGGGGACCCCCCGTCCCGAGCCTGCACCCGGAACCGAAGCTCCCGCAGCTGCTCGTAGTCGAAGGAGCGCAGCGCGTACACAGCCCCGGTCTCCGAGTTAATGGACACGGCGGAGGAGAGCGGAGCTTCGCGGCCCTCGCCCTCCAGCAGAGAGTAAGTCACTCGGGCGTTCTCCCCCCAGTCGCGGTCAGTGGCCCTCACGGAGCACACGGAGGCCCCGCTGGGGTTGTTCTCCGGCACGTAGGCGGTGTAGGACGCTTGGCCGAAGAGCGGAGCGTTGTCGTTGGTGTCCAGGACCCGGAGCGGGATGGTGATGGCGGTGGCAAGGGGCGGAGTCCCGCTGTCCGTGGCGGTGACTGTGATGTTGTAGGCGGCCACCTGCTCCCTGTCCAGGGCTCGCTCGGTCACCAGGCTGTAGTACTTGTCCAGCGACCGCCTCAGCTGGAAGGGGAGGCTGCTGGGTATGGAGCACGTGACCTCCCCGTTCTCCCCCGAATCCGGATCCTGGACGTTTAGAAGGGCGACCACAGTCCCGGGGGGAGCGTCCTCGGGGATCGCGCTTACGAGGGACCTGACAGCGATTTCCGGGGCGTTGTCATTCACATCGGTAACCATGATTTCAATTCTCGATTTGTCGTATCGGCCTCCCCCGTCTTGCGCTTTCACCTCGATTTCATACAACGCCGATTCCTCGAAGTCCAAGTTCCCCACCAGTGTCACTTCCCCCGTCTCAGAGTCCAAGTGGAATGTTTGAGCAGCTTTGTCTGTGATTTGGTGGAAAGAGTAGGTCACCTCTTTGTTGACTCCTTCATCCAGGTCGGTGGCCTTTACTGTGAGAACCGTGGACCCTGCCGGCACATTTTCCCACACACTCACCGTGTAGACAGGCTGACTGAAAACCGGCGCGTTGTCATTAGCATCGAGGACAGTAACGCGGATCTGCGCAGTGCCGGATCTGACCGGGTCTCCCCCATCAGTGGCCGTGAGGATCAGCGTGTGAACGGCTTGTTCTTCCCGGTCCAGGGACTTTTCCAGCACCAGGTCGGCGTGTTTCACGCCATCCGGGCCTGTCTGAACATCCAGTGAGAAATGCCCGTCGCTGCCGAGCTGGTAGCTCTGCAGGGAATTAATGCCCACATCGGAGTCCTGAGCGTCACTCAAAGAAAACCGCGATCCCGGCGCCGTTGTCTCGCTGACTTTTAACTCCATTTCTTCCGCCGGGAAGCTGGGGGCGTTGTCATTAATGTCCGTGATTTCCACTTCCACTCCGTACAGCTTCATTGTATCCTCCACTATGAGCTCACAGCTCAGCAGACACTTCCCCGCCCGGCCGCAGATCCGCTCCCTGTCTATGCGCTCCGCGGTGATCAAATGGCCGCTCTCCGCATTGAGAGCAAAGTACTGCGTCCTACCTCCGGAAACGATTCGGACTCCGCGCTCCGAGAGCTGCTCCGCGTCCAGCCCCAGGTCCTGCGCGATGTCCCCCACGAAAACGCCTCTCTCCGTTTCCTCCGGGATCGAGTAGCGAATCTGCCCAGAAGCTGCCTGCCAGGCGGTGGCCAATATGAAGCAGAGCAGGGCTCGCTCGCGGCAGCGCCGCAGCCTCTGCGCTTCGGTCATTGCCCGGCTTCAGGAAAGACTCCGGGTCTGGATTTTGTCTCTGGCCCCGCAGCGTGTGGGTCTAATGCCAAAGCCCCGCGCAGCGACTCTCGCCGGGCAACGTTCCGCTGCGGGAGCCTCCATGCCTGCCAGGCGGTGGCCAATATGAAGCAGAGCAGGGCTCGCTCGCGGCAGCGCCGCAGCCTCTGCGCTTCGGTCATTGCCCGGCTTCAGGAAAGACTCCGGGTCTGGATTTTGTCTCTGGCCCCGCAGCGTGTGGGTCTAATGCCAAAGCCCCGCGCAGCGACTCTCGCCGGGCAACGTTCCGCTGCGGGAGCCTCCAGCTAGCGGGGCGGGGCGGGGTGGATCGCTCGGCGCGTCTCCCTCTCTGATTGGTGAACAGCGGCGCTCAGCGCCTCGGCCAATAACTGCAGCTCCCGGTGCGAGTTTTCAGCCTGGAATCTTGTTGGTGTTGGAATTTGATACTCAACATTCTACCGGGGGCGGGCTCGCCGCCTCGGGGCACGTGACAGCTTGAAATGACGAAAGGGTCGGCGGTCCGGAATCGGGTTTTGTGCTCAAATATGTAGAGCCCTGGTTGATTTGTTTAAACAGGCTTATGGGTAAATGAGGTGTCCCTGGGTTTGACTAGACCTCTCGCATGCCTTCTGTCTGTTCTCGTGGGCACATTACACCGATTCACGCGCCACTTGCTATATACTTATATGCCCTTTAGTAAAATTGGTACTGACCCGCACAACGGCAGCATATTATGTTTAGATTTCAGTTACATTCGGCTGCCCTTTCTTACCGAGTCAGGTTATTCATTTCTCTCTCAATGGATGGGATAGAAATGAACTGAAGACTCGAGTATTCCACCTGTGGGTGAACTCTGTCTAATCGAGGAAATAAAATGATTTGTAGTCCACATATTGTCCAGTTTTCAGTCTGGTGTATTTAATACCGAGTATAGAAGGAGGCTGTTAGCTTCCAGGAAAACTCTAACACAAGAGGAAGATGTGTAACTATAATTCATTAGCTGAAAACACAAAAATATATCTGTGTCTGTACACTGTAGAGATGTTAAATTAAGCTTAATGAACTAATGACTAGTCCATGGACTAGTCCATTATTTAATGGGGGGGGGGGGGGGGTGAGCTCCAGGCCCTGCCTTTTAAGGCCCTTCATACATTTAAAAGGCTGAGCCGGGACAGCTGATACCCAGCTTGCCTCCCGCACACTGCACTTTAGCCTTTTTAATGTATTAGGATGTGTATCAAGACGTGGGCATGCCATGGTTTTATATATAGGCAATAAAATACTTTTTAGATAAGGAGACCACATCTGTATGCAGTATTCAAGATGTGGGCATGCCATGGATTTATATAGGGGCAATAAGATATCCTTCAACTGATTCTCTATCCTTTTAATGATTCCTAACATTCTGTTTGCTTTTTTGACTGCTGCTGCACACTGAGAGGATGTTTTCAGAGAACTATCCACAGTGACTCCAAGATCTCTCTCTCTTCAGTAGTTGTAGCTAAATTAGTCCCCATCATATTGGATGTATATTGTACGTCCCAGAGGATTTGGAATCCTGGCAATTAAAGAAACTGGGCTTGGTAGATACAAGAGAAAGGCCAAGTCACCTTTTTAAGACTGCATAAAACATTTCAAAAACAGTCCTGCTATGAGGTGTGCATTATTAGGTACAGAATACAGGAGACAAGGACAAAAAAAAGAGTTGTCATTGGTCATTCAGGAATATCATGAGAAGACGTCATACGTATTTATTACAGGCCCAAATGCCACAGGAGTCGTCATAGATAGAAGCCTTACAAACAAACATATCAAATCCAACACTACGCTAACCCCCAACCCCCCACGGCACACTGTGATCCTGTATCAGAAAACGCTCAGTCTAAATTTAAAAACAAAAACAAAAAATACAAAGGTGAATAGGAGAAACGGATAATACATGAAAACAGAAGCTCACCTCCACACCAGATCCATCGCCCGCAAACACCTTCCCAGAGCTGTCACCGCACAGAATATTCCCGCCCCTCGGCACGCTGGATTTCAGGAAAGTAAATTCCTTCTTCCCGGCATCCGAGGACAAACACAGCTGGTAGGAATAAGGCAAAGTCCCATCTTCATAGCTTGGTGGGAACATGGAGCCCGTCTTGGAATAAGGCTCAGGACCAAAACACTGAAGTAACTGGGGATTTCCTGACCGCCGCAATCTCATCGCAATGGCCAGTGTCACCGTCAGGAGGAAGAGAAACGAGACCAAGGCCAAGGCCAACACCAAGTAGAACTGCAAATCAGACTGCGGCGCCGACTCAGCCGACCGGTCGCTCATTTCCGGAAGAGCCTCTTGGAAGTTCTCGGCGAACACCAGGCTCAGAGTCACGGTGGCGGAGAGAGGCGGCTGCCCGTTGTCCTTCACCAGGGCGACCAGCCGGTGCTTCACCGCATCTCTGTCCGCAAAGGCGCGCGCGGTCCGGATCTCCCCGCTGTGCAGCCCCAGCCGGAAGAGCGCCGGCTGCGTGGCCTGCAGCACATGGTAGGAGAGCCAGGCGTTGTGTCCCGAGTCCGCATCCACCGCCACCACCTTCGTCACCAGATAACCCGCCTCGGCAGAGCGAGGGACCATCTCGAACACGGCCGAGCCCTCGGGCCCGAGCGAGGGATACAGGATGCGAGGGGCGTTGTCGTTCCGATCCAGGATAAACACGCTGACGGTGACGTTGCTGCTGAGAGGCGGCGACCCGCCGTCTTGGGCCTTCACTTGCAGCTCGAACGCCCGGAACTGCTCGTAGTCGAAGGAGCGCTGCGCGTACAGCGCTCCAGTCTGGGAGTTGATGGACACGTAGGAGGAGACAGGCACCTCCTGGATGCTGCTGCGCAGGATGGAGTAAGTGACCCGGGCGTTGCCGTCCAGATCCCGGTCTGAGGCTTTGACGCTCAAAATGGAGGCCCCCGAGGGGTTGTTCTCGGGCACGTAGGCGCTGTAGGAAGGTTTCTCGAAGACAGGGGCGTTGTCATTGACATCCGAGATCTGCAAGAGGATGGTTTTCTGGGTGGAGAGCGGGGGGGAGCCCTTGTCTGTGGCCGTGATTGTGATGTTGTACTCCGGGGCCCGCTCCCTGTCCAGGGTGCTGACCGTAACCAGCTTGTAGTAGCTAGTGGAAGACGATATTATTGTCAAGGGCAAATCTTCTTCTAAGTGACAGGAGAACTTCCCGTTTTCTCCTTCATCTCGGTCTCTAACTTTGACCAGCGCGATCACTGTCCCGGGCACAGAGTCTTCGGGAACGGGGCTGGGCAGGGATGTCAGGGTCACCTCGGGAGCATTGTCGTTCTCATCTAGAACCCTTATCTCCACCTTGCAGTGTGTCACTAGTCCGCCTCCGTCCTTCGCTTCCACCACCAGGGTGTAGCCCCGGGACTCCTCGAAGTCCAACGGCTCCTTTACCGTCAGTTTCCCGGTGTCCGGGTCCAGACTGAATCTCTGACGCGCCTTCTCCGGAACGTTGCTGAAGACGTAGCTGATCTGAGCGTTGGAACCTTCGTCCTGGTCGGAGGCTTGGAGCTGGAGCAGCAAGGAGCCCGCCGGGGCACCTTCCCTCAGGCTCACTCTGTAGAGCTCCTGAGGGAAGAGGGGCGGGTTGTCGTTGATGTCGGTGACATTGATGCGTATCTGGGCGGTCCCGGTCCTCGGCGGCTCCCCCCCATCCGCAGCCGTGAGGGTCAAGTGGAGGCTGCGCTGGCTTTCCCGATCCAGGGCTTTCTGCAGCACCAGCTCCGCGTATTTGCTGCCGTCCTGGCTCTCTTTGGCCTCCAGGCGGAAGTACTGGTTGGGGCTCAGCTGGTAGCGCTGCAGAGAGTTCACCCCGACGTCAGGATCCTCCGCTTTTCCCAGGGCAAAGCGAGCCCCTGGCAAGCTGGACTCGCTGACCTGCAGAGCGATGGCGTCTTGCAGGAACCGCGGGGCATTGTCGTTAATGTCCTGCACGGCCACAGTCACGTGGAAAACGTTCAGGGGATTTTCGGCCACGATTTGTATAGTTCTAACGCAGGGCTGCGAAGCCCCGCAGATCTCCTCCCGGTCTATGCGGCCATTCACAGACAAGTCCCCGTTCTCCCCATTCACACTGAAGTGCTGCTGTTCCGAACTGACACGGAGCCTCCGCAGCGGCAGCTCCCTCAGCTCCAGCCCCAGATCCTGGGCGAGGTTCCCCACGAGGGAGCCTTTGGCCATTTCCTCGGGGATCGAGTAGCGAGTCAGCTCCGGGGCCGCGCGGCAGAACAAAGGGAAGAAGCAGGCGAGGAGCAGTACTTGCCGTGGGGCCGCCCGGCGCCGGGTATCGAGCCTCATCCCTGTCAGCTTTGTGTCTTCTTCGATTCCCGCAGGGGGTGAGAAATCCCTCCCGGCTGACGCAATCCTCAGGGAAAAAGCGGCATCGGAGTCCGGATTGTGGAAGTGTTCGGAGCCCTGCGCTGGGGTGGTGTGTGGAGGTGTGGGGGGTATTTTTCTGATCGGAGACCGGGCGGTTCCTCTGTGCTGCTTCCTCCGCTCCCCGCCCGGCGCCGTGTGACGGAGCAAGCGCAGGGCAGGAGCAGCCTGTGGATCCCGGCTGCAGCGCCGGCTCCGCATTGGCCAACAGCGGAACTCGGTGCCCCAGGCCAGAAA